GTATATCGACTGATCTTGCAATTGAACAAGTGTTGATGTGGAGTGTCAAAACAAGTAGTGGGCTGACAAGGGGTAGAGGTATGTCAAAAATACAACGTACCGTTTGGCTACTATCAACACCTGTATTTGCAGAAGTCAATCGTGCAATGCAAGAGTTTGTGTTTCTTACATCACAAGTGAGCAACACAAAGAGAGTGCAAAGACCAGGCAAGTTAGAGCTCATAATGACCTAATGGAGTTAGTACAGTTTCTTCGTGCAAGAAACAACTCTACTGGATTTGTTGCTGATGACACAGTAAATGTCGATAATGCTAGGTTTATTGGTGCTTAAAGAATAAAGTCTATGATTGAAAAAAGCGTGAGTGATTTTTCATTCACTAAAAAAAACAGGCTGTGTGAAAACATCATTAAAGCTTGATGCAGATGAAGTTGATTCCCAGTTGATATTTCAAAGACTTGTTTCCATTGCAAGGGGAATTGTATCAACAGACAAGTTGTTCAGTCTTTTCACAAATGAGCTGTGTATTCATCCATCAGCATTGTTTGCCTCTGATGGACTGATGCGGGAAGCAAACAAGCCAGCTTTAGCCGAAGCAGTCTGGAAATGTGTTGGTCCCATTACTAGTTACATGTCCATTGAGGTTAAGTATGTTATTGATGGAGGTTCACTTTTACAGAGAATTCCATGGCCACGAGGACTAACATATAAGGGCATCAGCAAACTTTACCTTGATTACATTGACCGCAAATATGGTAAAGAATCAACAGTTGTTTTTGATGGCTATCCAGATAGACACAACTCATCTTAGGCGTTCAATAGGGAAAATGTCTGCTGGTGTTTACTTTGATTCTGACATGGTTATGAATAATGAAGAAACAACAGTTTCTTGCAAATGCAGCAAATAAGCAGCGGTTCATAATATCCTGAGAACTGAACTGGAAGTGAAGGGGAATCAAGGTTCGAAATGCTGAAGAAGATGCAGATGTCCTTATAGTGATGACAGCTGTAGACTCTGCTGTCAATGCACCAATGGTAGTTGTAGGTGAGGACACGGACTTGTTAGTGTTGCTGATCTACCATGTCAACTTAAATAGTCACAAACTGTATTTAAAACCAGAAGCAGTGCGAAATACAAAAAACGAAGTCAAAGTGTGGGATATAAACATACCAAAGACAAACTAGGACCACTTATTTGCAAAAACATATTATTTATACATGCTGTCTTGTGACACCACATACAGGATATATGACTTAGGAAAGGGTCTGTCCTTGAACAAATTCCAAACCAACAAGCAGTTTCAATGTCATGCTTCAGTGTTTGATCAAGATGATGCTTCAAAAGACGACATTGTGATTATGGAGTCAGGAGAAAAAGCTTTGGTCCTTTTATATGATGGCAAGTCC